TAAAGTGCTAAACCAAAACAGACATTGCCCCATGCTCTCATCAAGGTAACAGTGGAGCAGGGTAGTCAGATTATAGGTGCATTGAGCATAGCAAAGAAAACATTCAACAGAATAATAAGGAGAAAAAAATTATAAACCATATATATGATAAAAAGCTAATCTCCATAATATAGGAGGAACTCCTACAACTCAAGAGCAAAAAAAAAAAAAAAAAAAAAAAAAAAAAAAAAAAAGGCAAGCTAATAACCCAATTTAAAATGGGCTAAAGACTTGAAAGACATCTCTCCAAAAAAAGACATATCAATGGCCAACAGTGTATGAAAAATGCTCAACATCACTAATCATCAGAAAATGCAAATTGAAACCACAATGAGATATCACCTCATACCTGTCTGGATGGCTATCATCAATAAAACAAAGGACCACAGTGTTGACAAGGATGTGGAGAAATTGGAACCCTTGTGTATTTTTTTTTTTTTTTTTTTGGAACCCTTGTGTATTGTTGAGTAGGAATGCAAAATGGTATAGCCACTATGGATGACAGTATAGTGGTTCCTGAAAAAAATTAAAAATAGAACTACTACATAATCCAGCAACCCCATTTCTGGGTATTTATCTAAAAGAACTGAAGTCAGGATCTCAACGAGATATTAGCACCCCTGTGTTCACTGCAGCACTATTCACAATAGGCAACACGTGGAAATAATCTAAATGTTCTTCAGCAGATGAATGGATAAAGAAAATGTGGTTTATACATACAAAAAAAATACTACTCAGCCTTTAAAAAGAAGGAAAGTCTTCATTGTGTAACAATATGGATGAACGTCAAGAATATAATGCTAAGTGAAATAAGCCAGTTACATGAGTACAATACTGCATGATTCCACTTGCATGTGATATCTAAAACAGTCAATTCATAGAATCAAAGAATGGATGGTGGCTCCCAGAGGCTGGATGAGGGGAGAAAGGAGGAGTTACTCACCAATAGGCATAAAGTTAAGCAAGAGGAGTAAATTCTAGAGATCTGCTGTACAACATTGTGTCTATAGTCAACAATACTGTATTGTACACTTAAAATTTTGTTAAGAGGATATTGTGTTCTTACAACCATAAATTTTTGTGAGTATTGATAATTTCCAGAGGGGGAGGTAGCAATGAGACTATATAGTAGGCGAATTTTACCCAGTTGAGGGATCCATCCCTGAGGAAGTAACATTGTCAGCGAAGACAGAGATGAGTAAATGTCAACCAGGCAATGTGAGGGGAAAAGCATAATGCCCCATCCTCTGAGCGGCTGCCTCCTCGCATCGCTGGGCTTGTGGGGAAGCCAGGCCCCAGAATCTCAGCAAGGCCTGTAAGTGCCTCACAGGCTGCAAGACACAGCCAATCCCACCCCAAGGGTGACTCCCCAAGGCTGCAGCACCCCCTCAGAAACAGCCAAAGGCACAGAAGGCTGGAAGGCAAGCACCCGGCCAGACCCAAGGCTCACAATTGTAGCCCCTACACAGACAGATAGGGGGAGAATCTCTGTTTTCCTTTCCCCTCCCCTTTGGCCTAAGTTGATCCAAATACTTTCAACCCAGAATCAGCAAAGTGCTTAATACACAAATAGTTTCTGCTGACCTCCTCCCTTGAAAACGTAATATACTTTTATCATGGGTAGGCAGATATGTCTGTTTTGTGATTTGATGAACAGTGTTGAAGTGGCCTCATGGCTGCCAAAAGGCCTCTGCTTCAAGGTCCCAGTGACCCAATTTCTTCCAGAGGTGAAGGCATAAGTGGGGGCACTAGAAGGGCAGAGTCCATACTAGGACAGGTTTTAACCTCGGACAACATTCACTGTGTAGGCAGCTCCTTTATGAAACACACACATTGTGGTCATCAGCATTGAACACGGTTGTTGGATTTTGTTTTATAGCCACAACATATTAGAACTTTACTGAAAATTGGGGGGAACACCCTTTTTTTGATGTTTATTTATTTTTGAGAAAGAGGCATAGGATCTAAAGCACGCTGTGCTCTGACAGCAGAGAGCCCAATGCAGGACTTGAACCCACAAACTGTGAGATTGTGACCTGAGCTGAAGTCAGATGCTTAACCAACAGAGCCACCCAGGTACCCTGGAAGACATCCTTTTTTGAACCTTAACAAACATAGAGAAAAGTGCACAAATCCTACATGCGTGCCTTTGTGATTTTTCTCGAAGTGGATCCAGACATAGTACCCAAATCAAGATAACATCCCAGAATCCCTCCCCCCAAGTCTCCTCTTCTAGCTATCGTCCACCAAGGGGAACTACATCCTGATTTTAACATCATAGATTCGTTTTATGTTTTGAACTTCATATAAATGACAGCATAGTATGAACTTTGCTTTTGTGCCTTTCTTTACTCAATTTTATGTTTGTGAGATTCATCCACGTTGCTTCTTTCTGAAGTTTATTCTCACTGTTCTGTGTTATTGTATAAATATATCATCATTTTTTATCCACTCAGCTATTGATGGACATTTGAATTATTCCCCATTAGAGCTATTATGAATAGTGCCACTTTGAATATTCTTATATATGTCTTTTGATGAACATACACATATTCAGAGGAGAGAGTATGTACTTGTATTAGTTGTCTATTGTTGCCTAATACATTTCCCTAAATCCTGGTAGCTCACAACAAAAATAAGTGTTTATTATCTCTCACCATTTAATGAGTGAGGAATCTGGGAGAAGCTTGGAAAGGCAGTTCAAGGTCTCTTATGAAGTTGCAATCGTCTGGAAGCTAGACCCAGTCCACTGGATATGCTGGCAAGGTAGCTCACTCATGTGATTGGCAAGTTGGTGCCAACTCTTGGTGAGCAGCTTCAGTTCCTTTGCATGTGGACTTTCCTGAGGAATGTCTGACTGTCCTCATGACGTGACAGCTGACTTACCCCAGAGTGAGCAAAGAGAGAGAGAGCCAAATGGAAAATATATCCTTTTCATGAGTTAGCCTTGGAGGTCACATAGCATCACTTCTGCTTAATCTTATTCCTTGCAAGTGAGCCAGTAAGTTCAACCCAAACTCAAGGCTTCATCTTTAGAAGGGAGAGACAGCAAAGAATGTATGGATATATTTTAAAACACAACATTTTAAAGCTAGGAATTAAGCCAAACTAGAAATCTAAAAATAAGTTTATAGAAATTCACACAAGGATCTAAAAGAAATACATATTCAATCCAGCCTCTCTTCCATTCATTTAAAACTTTGTGAATGTTTATAGAACAGTTTTCAAAGTATTCCCTGGAAACAGCGTGGTACAATAGAATGGACTAAGACTTTGGAGCCAGACACACCCAAGTTTGAATCCTGGATTCACTACTTACTAATTATGGGTTTGGGGCAAATCAACATCTTGAATTTTCAGATTTCCTCAAATATAAAGTGGGAGAAGTCAGTAGAGCCTATCTCATGTTGTTTTGGAGATAATTAAATGAGATAATGGGTATAAAGTGCCCACTATGCTGGTAAGTCCCTTCTATTTGTTCATTTATCAGGAAATTGTGAACCATGTACATTAACTATCTAGAAGGGGCCAAAATGAACACTGTGAGTGATACAAAACGGACTCACAGAGCTTGCCTTCAATAGGTGTATACTCCAATAGGGCCCTTAACATTAAGGCAGAATAACTGTAATATAATTAGGAAAATGATCAGTGTCTGGAGCAGGTAGGGGCACAATCCTTTAAACGTGGGTCAAATTTGGATACAGAGAAATGGAAGACATCTTAAAGGATGGACCAGGAAAGGACAAAAAGTATTCTAAATTCAGAGTAACAGCTTGAGTAAAGACAGAACTAGAGAACCAGAGGGCATGAGCTGAGAATAATGAAGTTGTTTGCTACGTACAAGACTTAAACACAGGATAGATGAGAGGAGGTAGTGGAAATAGGAGCTGGTAAGGTAGTTATAGATCAGAGTAGCAGAAGGAGATTAAGAGAGTGTGCACTCAGTTTTGCAGTCTAATGAAAAACATTAAGGCCAAAGGTTTTTAAGCTGATTTTCAAGGCTAGCTACAAAAGCCAGGAGGGCCTAGCTACTTAAGAACCTACTTGCCATGCTTTTCTTGGCTAACTCCTGTTTGTAGAATTTTTGTGCCTCACATTGTAAATAGAACTTTCTAACACTGATCATTAAAGAACACTTCCCACTCCAAGCCCAGGCAACTTAGCTTTTCCTTATCATTCCCATTTTGGAGGCTGCATCAACAGGGAAATGGAATGGGATTGTTTTTATAGGCCCGCAGCTCACTGTAAATGTACTTCGCAAGACTTGGCCATTTGGAATGGCCAATTATGCACTCAACTCCTCTGTGTGTATTTGACTTCTACTTCCAGATAATGAGCCATTCTCTCCACTTAGTTCCCCTCAAGAAGACTGATCTATTTAGCAACCTTCATTTTTGTTACATTCTCCAGTCCTAGGTGGTGATGATATTTATACATAAGACAGAGACATTTCTATGCTGTGATGGAAGCTTGAAGGAAGTTGGAGCCAATGACCTTTTACTCTGAAGCCCAAAAAAAAAAAAAAGCACAAATTTTTCAGTCTTGCTAAGAATGGGGACTAGGCAAATTAGCAGAAACGCTTCTTCTAGACCTACTGTTCAAGATGTAGTGCCCAAAGCCTTTCTGTGCTCAAACCTATGTCATATCTATCATACCTCTGCTCATTTTGATGAAATTTGTATATTGTATCATAATAGACTCAGTTATAACCATTCTTGGTGATTTTACGGGCAAAAATGGATGTTCCATTTTATCACCTACTTTGTTTATCGTAAAAGAATTCTAGAGCACCAAGGAGAGGATGGGTTCTAGGCTTGGGATAGAATTCTTAGCCAATCTTATGCTGGAACTTACCACATTCCCAGGTATGTATTTTTACTCTATTAGCAACATTTGACGTCATGATGTTCTCTGCACAGGTACTAAGCGTGTCCTCATCTCCTCTGATTTCTTCCCAGGTGGGAAATTGGCAAGTGGAGTCCATGCAGTCTCACCTGTGGGGTTGGCCTACAGACCAGAGATGTCTTCTGCTCCCACCTACTTTCCAGAGAGATGAATGAAACTGTAATCCTGGCCGATGAGCTGTGTCGTCAGCCCAAGCCCAGCACAGTGCAAGCTTGTAACCGCTTCAACTGCCCCCCAGCCTGGGACCCGGCACAGTGGCAGCCAGTGAGTTCTGGGGCTACTCAGTTTTGGAGTTGGTGTGTACAGCTCTGATTCAGGACAGGGAACCCTCTCTTCAAGGAGTTTTGTCCCATTAAAGGAAGGTTCCAGGTCTGTTCCTCCCTCCCTTCTTAGTAGTCCCTCAACCTTATTCAAATCCAGATATTTTCATCATAAATACTGTCCTCTTTCTATGGTTTTGCACCAGTGTCCTCCAACAGCAATTCAAGACCCATCTGTTAAACTGAGTATATGCACAACAGAGTTTTCACCAAGCTAAGAAAAAAAGTTTTTAAATAAGGACAGTGTGATAGGTTTTCCATAAAGCTACATTTGTTCTGAATTTGTGCCCTTTCTAGTTTTTTACTGTTTAAAATTCTAGGAAGTAAGGGTCCTAGGTAATGAATTTTCTTTTTTTTTTCTTTTAAATATAGTTACTTACTGGGGCACCTGGGTGGCTCAGTTGGTTGTGTCTGGCTCTTGATTTCGGTTCGGGTCATGGTCTCATGGTTCGTGAATTTCAGCCCAGCATTGGGCTCTGTGCTGACAGTGCCAGGCCTGCTTGGGATTCTCTGTCTCCCTCTCTCTCTGCCCCTCCCCCACTCATGCTGTCTCTCTCTCTCTCTCTCTCTCTCTCAAAATATATAAACTTAAAAAAAAATAATTACCAAAATAAAAGATTAGAAATCAAGCCAATTCCAGACTTTTTAAAATTTTCCCAAGCTCTAAGAACTATTGTTTTTTAAAACAATAGGGGTTGCAAACTGCCATCCAAAGCCAGGGCCATCTCATAGACAGTTATTATAAATAAAGTTTTATTGGAACACAGCCATGCCCATTTCTTTTCTTATGTATTGTCTATGACTGTGTTTGCACTGGAAGGGCAGAACTGCATGGTTGTGACAGAGGCCATTTAGTCCACAACACCTAAAGTATTTACTCTGTCCTTTTACAGAAAAAGTTTGCTAACCCCACTCTAAAGCATACATTATAATAATACAAATACCATAATATTCTATTGAAAATACATATTTATCAAATTTTAATTAAATAATTTTTTGCATGCCTTTAAAACAGAGGAATTTTAGGGGCGCCTGGGTGGCGCAGTCGGTTAAGCATCCGACTTCAGCCAGGTCACGATCTCGCGGTCCGTGAGTTCGAGCCCCGCGTCAGGCTCTGGGCTGATGGCTCAGATCCTGGAGCCTGTTTCCGATTCTGTGTCTCCCTCTCTCTCTGCCCCTCCCCCGTTCATGCTCTGTCTCTCTCTGTCCCAAAAATAAATAAAAAAAAAAAAAAAAAAAACGTTGAAAAAAAAAAGGAAAAAAAACAGAGGAATTTTAGGTTATTTGGATAGAATCTTATTTTGCATTTCTTATTCATGAGGATATCAGGTATATCTTTAAAGTGACAACAATGGTCACAAAAAGTAAGCCTGAAAGGTGAGGGGGGACATGCATCCCAGTTTTGCTAAAATAGTTTTCCCTCTCAAAAGTGTCCCAATTAAAATGATAAATTATATGGTTACCCAAGTGAGGAGAGAGCATTGCAGCTTATATACCCTTGCCTTAGTGCTAAGGTGGGCGGAGGCAGCGGGGGTGGGGGGGCTGCCTTTTCTAGACTGCCATGCGTTCCCATGCTTTTTCCACCATCATTTGGCAAAGCCACTTCCTTCTCTCTGCCCATCTTGGGACTGTGATTTACAAAGCACCCAAAGAATCAAAGAGTAATCAGTGAGCAAAACTCTAAAATGTAAAGCATCTGGAAAAAGATATTGACTACTTCCTTTTAGAGCTTAAATATCTGCGTGGCTAAGCTCATAAATACCATGCTACTATGTGACAGTTTTGAGAAAGCAAGAGGATGTTATATATTTTGAATGCCTGTGTACCAGTGTTCTTAAGAAATATTATTACCTAACTGAAGTTAATCTTCACAACAATCAGTGGAAAGTAGGTTTTATTATCTTCGTTTTAGGTTTGAGAAAACTGGGCTCATGCAGGTAGCAAATCTAGGGTTGGCCATCAACCCAGTTTTATGTGATTGTTTCCACTATACCCCGTTTTAAAGACTACTATGGCTGAAAGAGCAACCAGGAATTATATAGGAGTCTTCTTGTTTTACACATTATGTAACTGTGGCCCAGATATGGTCTTGCCCAAGATCATAAAGCCTGGTGCAGACCCCAGGTCTCCTGATTTTATACTGATTTTATACTGATTTTAACTGGAATGAATCCATGACCTCAAACTGTAACACAAACTAATGCCAACCCTAAGACAAGACCAGAAATCAATGCACATCAACCTCCACTACTGTATTAAGTCCCCATATTATTAACTTGTGTCTCTGTTAGGTACATAGTTCTGGAAAAAATACTTACTGAATGAAAAAAATGAATGACTAGATCAAGAATACTGCCCCACAAGCCCTGAAAATGCTGACCTTATATCTTATTGATAAGTTTGTTTTATGGTTATAGGTCCTAATAATGAAACTAAATAACAAAACACTGGTTGTGTTATAGCACCATGATTGAGAACCACTGTTCTCAATCTGAGACACTTTGATCATGACAGTCTTCTGCTAGGATTTTTTTCAGTGACATTCCATTGCCATGTAGTAAAGCCAAATGGCATGGTCAGGCCTACATCCCCCTGCACGTCGGCTCCTGCCCATCTCCCACCATGTTTCTCCCACCCCTGCTTGTACATTCCTAATGGCCCATGCTTGTCCCTGCCCACACGCAGTTCCCTTCCCCTCTGCTTGTCAAATCAGGCAGGAGTCCCACCTCTTCTACCAGGACCCCTTGCTATCTTCCTGCACATGGTGTTCATGGTCAGTGCTGCTCACTGAACAGTCACATTCCACCTTACTGTGTGAGCACTTTTCCATGACTTTTGAGTAGACCCTAAGGTCAATGAGACAGAGACTAAGTCTCAGGTATGTAAAGCATAGAGCATGGTGCTGAAAAATTCCACGGCAAGTCTGCCAGTCCATTTATTGAGCACTTACCCCATTTCAGGACCTGCTTCTCTTTTTAATAAAAGCAGCACTTACTATGTTTCAAGTTCTAGGCACTTTACGTATTTAACTCACTTAATCCTCACTACCCTATGTGATCATTACTACTGTCCTCCCTGTACCACAGATGAGGGACGTAGAGCACTATGAAGTTAGCATGAATTCAAACTTCATGTAGCAGAACTCTTTCTACTGCTCTCATATTTTCTCCTTTAATCCACTCAGAACAATCCTGTGAGGAAACAAGGCTCAGAGAGGGTTCCTTGCCCCAGGTCACATGGCCAATAAATAGCAAAGGGGGCCTGTATGCCTCAAAACCCCTTCTCTTTTCCACTATGCAGTTCAGCTTTCCTAAGACCTCTTTACCATTTCCTCCAAAGTATTAAATTGTGAGGAAATCTAACACCAGCCCTAAAATCAGCAGTTTACATAAAGCTCACTATTTGTTGTCTTATCCGGGGCAGTTAATCTGTGCGTGTTTCCTGTTGCTGCTATAACAAATTACCACACATTTAGCAGCTTAAAACAATGTGAATTTACTGTCTTATAGCCCTGGAGGTCAGAAGTCTGAAATCAGTTTTACTTGGCTAAAATCAAGGTGTTGGCAGGCCTGCGTTCCTTCTGGAGGCTCTAGGGGAGAATCTATTACCTTGCCTCTTCCAGCTTCTAGAAGCTGCTTGCTTCCTTGGCCCATGGCCCCTTCTTCCATCTTCAAAGTGCCTCACTTCAACCTCTGATTCTGTCCTTTCTCTCTGACTCTGATCCTCCTTCTTCCCTCTTATAAGGACCACTGTAATGACACTGAGCCCACTGGGATAATCCAGTTATCTCCCCATCTGAAAATGCTAATGACATCTTTAAAGTTGCTTTTACCATGTAAGATGACATTTTCACAGGTTCCAGATTTTAGGACATAGATGTCATTGTTCAGCCTGCCAGTCTTCTATATTTTGGGCTACGCATTAGTCTCTATTAGCACAATATTCCTGAGATTAAAATTAAATTACCACTGCACTCACCACTATCTGTGAGCTTCACATGCACCAATCTTTCTTTATTCATTTTTATTCTAAAAAATAAATGGAAAAGAGAAATGAGACGAAAAGAGATAGTTGCTAGAAGGGTTAACTGAAGTGAATTAGGGAGTCCACTCTGAAGCATAATTTATATTTCTCTGTATTATGCATGTTTTATGATCAGGATTGTGTCCACCAACTATACACACATATTGCACACATCTGTGCAGAGACTAAAACAGTCACCATGGCCCCTGTTTTCTCCCTTGCTTAAAACTATGATTATGTGGCCATTTCCCTATAAACCGTTTTTTTAATCAGGGTTACAATTCAAAATGCCTATAGTTTAGCTATATAAAAAGGTATATGCAAGCAGAGTCACGGCTAGTAATAGTAAGAAAAAAGAGAAATTTTAATGACAACTACAAATGCTTGAGACTCCACTTTTTTTCATTTTTTGGATTTAAACACACACACGTAAAAGAATGACTTTGGTCTGGATTCGAGGATTATAGACTGGCAGGAAGAATCAATTGAGTCATCAGTTTTGTTACATTCCAGTGACTAAAATATAAATTCTCATAATTTAGAAACCATGCTTATTTAAAACATTATATTCAGGGGGAAAAATATCTATTAGGATGTTTATCTCAGTTTTGGCAGTGTGTTTTATAAGGAAATGAACACTTGATCCTACCTTTAGAATCAACAACAAATGTAAGCAAAACAGAGATTAGAAGTAAAATGTCACATGTGCGGTGCTTTTGTTTTTGTTTATTGGCAGAACACTTTTTGTAATAATTGCTCTGGATTTCAGTGGTTTTGCAACCCCATGCTTCACACGGTAACAGGAATATTAAACCCAGAAGATACACTGGACACCACTTGTGTGTCCAGGGTTAAGAAAGATCATTTCGTATTAGATCAACAAGGTGATTCTAATCCACAAAATAGTTGGGGTATAAATTC